ATATTCGTTTCAAGTAGATAGAAGATTTAATGGAAGAGCAAGAAGAGTAAAAGTTTAGTTTCGAAGAATTCAATTGGTAATTTTTTCCAGACAGTTTTTATTTATACGATAACTTTTCACAGTTTTCCATTCTTTCGTTCATAATTAAGTACAATTATAGTATAATTAAGCGTAATAAATTATTCAATCGTTCAACTATTCTGAGATTGTGATTTATCTAACAATGATAGAAAACAAGTTGAGAACCACTGTCGTGCAGAATCGTGATTTATTTAACAATGATAGAAAACAAGTTGAGAACCACTGCCGCGCAGAATTGCGATTTATTTAACAGCGATAGAAAACAAGTTGAGAACCACTGTCGTGCAGAATTCATATGCACTTTAGAGAGATGATTTTTTAATTTAACTGGAAATTTTTTATGTATATATATATATATAATTATTGGCACGAGTGAAGGAAACAAAAAAAACATTGATTATGGAATTGTATTTCGATCCGAGCTACAATTCAGTTTCAAGTTGCAGACCAATACGTTCAATAATAATTACGCGAAGCAGCAGCTTGTATCTTAACGTTAATAAATTGCACGCGCATGCGCGGAATAGATATTTAACGAGAGGCAAAATTATTATGCGAATCTTGTGATACTTTAATGTCGATAAATTGTACGCGAATTCGGAAGGCATTTAGCCATGAGTTATTATTATGGTACAAAATACCATTGATCAGAATCGATATCTCGAAATTAATGATAAATTATGGGGAATTGGACGAAATTGGTTGTGTGCATTAAAGCAATATGCGTTCAATCTTTTTTCTTTTCTTTTCTATAATTTCGAATTCAATCTTAGATCGTTAATTTTTTATCTGCTGACACATGTTTCGTTTTCTTTATACAAGGAGGGAAAAAAAAAAAAAAGAAATTGATACTTGAAAAGGGATGAAAAGTAATTTCAAGATGAAAAATAACAAGATCTCGTGTTTTTCTATATATGAATCTCATTTAACAAAGCTCGACTCTTTTGAGAAGAGGATCTGGAGCAAGAAAGAAGACAAAAGGGATCATATTTATCGTCAGTTCTAGGTTCGTATTTCTTTTTTCCTGGAGGAGCTGAAAGTGGACCAGAGTGGAGTTACTTAAAATAAAGTACATCCTCGAAAATCTACATAATGTACAACTGAATTGGATAATACAGGTCAGTTTTCCATTTTTACAAACGGGAGATAGTATATAAAGGAATAGCTCTCATAGCTGGACGAATAAGCATTCATATTTTATTTTATTCCGATAACCAATCAATCGATCAAACATTGAACTCATTTCCAATAAGACTATAAACGTTAAAAATCTTATTATATCCGATTATTTATTTACAACAAACTAATTATTTATTAATTTCTACAAAGTTTACAAATTTTTAATTTCATTTAATTTTCTTCTTTCTATCATCTAATATAACCTAACCTAACTAATTTCTGCTTTAACAACTTTAACTTTATCTAACCTAACCTAATAATTTACCAACTTTTACTTTAATCATTCCATCAAAAATGGAACTAATAGAAATACAAATCTATTCAATTTTAAGGGGAAAAAAAAAATGAATAAACACTCGTGTAGATAATCCATTTAAGCGAAACATTCTAGATTCCGTCCATTTTTATCCAATGATAAAGTTTCTAATCTCGTTCGAATCAATCGATAGTTGTGAATCGTATGCGATATTTATTACGAGTTTCGGATATGAATACCTAGGATTATGTAGTAAATTACCAACATCCCTGTATTCATTGACGTCATTTATCTAAACGCTAGCGTAGTATCGATTATCGGTTGGACTTTTTGAAATAGCTTTTCGATAATAATTGGAATAGGTCGATCGATCTTTGTTAGAAGTGAAATGCGAATACATGCGAATGGCATTATTGAAAATACCGTCGTATTTATAAATACGTTGGAAGGTGAGATCAAAGTAAATTTAACGCGTTTCACCGAAATTTATTCATCCTTTTTTTTTCCCTCTCTCTTTTTAAGCTTTATTTATAAATAAATATTGACGTAAAGCAAGTGATCGAAGTAATATTCTTTTGTTAAATACCAATTTGTATCTCAATTTTATAGTTTTCCATTTATTGGATTGTTTATTAATATCATACGTTTGGGACCAACGATTAAGCCATAAAATGGCAATATAACGTCCAAAATAATCGAGGCCACATGTGTGCATTGTCCGAGTAATATGGAATAAAACGAAACGATAGAAAATAATATACGTATTTATAATATTAAGTCATTAAATGATTTTATTACAGAAGAGTAATGAACCATATTTTAATATTAAATTCAAGTATTTTAGAGATTAAAAGTTTAATATACGTGTAAAAAAAATTGCTAATAACAACATTGAATCAACATTGTTCACCTGAAATTATTTTATATGCACTTTCAACAATTCTGAGATCTTTTGAAAATTTTTTTCTCTCTTTCTAGAAAAATACGTGACAATATCAAACAGAGTTTCGATCTATTAGAATTGGAATTATATGAATAATTTAAATATTATTAGACTAATGACATGACGCTTTTAACAACATTTGATCAGTTCCTCGTTGTTATCGTCGATGCTATTGTGCATGCAATGATGTTAAATTAAAGTTTGGATCTCGTTGTAGTTTCGCGAAACTTTAGCTATACATAGATAGGTATATTCTCAGTTATGGACCAAGTTTTCGGTATAAATGTAGGTCGCGATAAATAATTGAGTATTTTTGCGAGACGAGAGAGTTCAAAAATAAAAAATAAATATTTATTTACTTTTTTATAAATTTCATAATATTAATAAAAACTTTGTAACATTTTCACATGAGAATTTAGATAAACATGGTTGCCCTTCTTCTCATTTAATTTTATTATATTTATCTATTTCTTATCTATTAATTGATTTATTATTCAAATCCATCCAATTTTCACCTTCTCTATACTCATTCTTAAATAAAGAGCAACATATCAATTATTCTTAAAATCTTAAAAACTATTAATTACTAATTTAACCCGGATCCAATTTTAAATACAAGAAAAAATTAATTCGAATCGAATAAGAAAAAAAAAAAACGATTCCACAATTTTTAAAATTTCCATCATCGTGATACGAAAAACAAATTTTCCTCTCCATCCTTTCTGCTTCCTTCAATATTCGTAACAATTCGACTTTAAACATTCCACCAATTATCTTTCTTCCATATTAAATTCCATTTTCATTTCAGTATTCAACTAGAGATAAGAGATAAAAAAAAAGAAATTCGACTCACCTCACGGTCGAGAGGTTTCGCCAACGTGATAACGCCGGTTCGTGGATTTACGACGAAATGGTCCGTGAGTTGTATCCCATATTTCACCGGTGATCCCTCAGGATCGTGGCCCTTAAGGACGAACACTTCCGTTCCGACTTTCGTTGATTCGGAAAGCGTGAGGCCCGCAGGGTATCCGTTCGGTTCGAGGATAGGTGGCTCGTTTACATTGTTCGCTCCTGGAACAACAGAGGAACCTGTTCTTGCTTTCAATAGTTCCTCGAGAATTGGGAGAGGGGGTATTGGATACGATTGGTTGGTGTTAAGTACAGTAGATATTTCGCCAGAAAGTAACCTTACTTAGATACGTTACGTAACACGCATTAAGAATATATTACAAGTTATAACATTCGACAGAGTTCAAAGAAATTTATTCTGATTTCATTATTAGGTACGCAAATAAGTTCTTTCCCCTTTTCTTTTCTAAATTCAAGATTTTATTACCGTTTGACTCTCGATCTTTCTGTCAATTCTTCTCGTCGTCGAACTTTCTTTAGATGCACTCGAACGATCGTCGTTTTCCAAATTAAAATTTCCGGCTTTGAATCTTTGGTAGGACTTTTTGTTTCGTAAGATACAGGGTTCTTTCCCAACACACAAATCATTTCAGTAACTTCAACACTCGATTTTCTAAACTGGAATGCAAAAAGGAAACAGTAACACGAATGACACTTCTCGCACGCCATGAAAACTCTTGTAGCGCTCGTCGCGACTCTTCTTAAAAACAAAAGAACGCTTTTTCAGATGGCGCCACCAAACAGTAATAGTAATTCGAATTTAGAAGTTACGAATTTAGTATTAATTCGAATTTAGTAGAGAAAAAAAGAAAGAAAGAGACTTATTTGCACGCCTAATATTTATCTGGACGTTTTTTCTTTCTAATTTAAAACTATAAAATTGATAAAAGTATCTATATAGTATTAAGAAAAATGAAAAGTATTAATATTATTAAATTCATATTAATTTTTATATTAATCAACGTAAAAATCGTAAAAATATAACTTAACCTAACACTTTGTACATGTAATTCATATAAATGTAATAGAATATAATTGAAAATTATTAGTTATCTTTAAAGGATATACTCTTAGAAATGAACTTACATTATTTATACTATTTGACACCATGGACGTGATAATTCGAATTCGGTCAAAAGTTACGATCGTAGAGAAAAAAGAGGAAGGAATTTATTTGCACACCTAATAGTGGAGCAATTTTTCGACGATGATGTCTTGTTACAAAGATATAAGATTGGAATTCCATTCTTATTTACAACATCCTATATATCTCCAAAGTTTCATCATAGAGGATGAAATAACAGTTATTACGTCCAACGATGCACGAATATCGCACACTGGTCTCGAAACGTCCCTGTTTCGTTGTAAGAATATGAAAAGGAAGAAACAAGCAGGCATTGATAAATTAACAATTTTTCTCCGTGAAATAATAACTATTTTTGCTACACGATTTGCCGCACGATAATTTCTCTTTGCAGCTGTCTAATAGCGCCCGCCGTGTGCATAATGCAACCGATAATTATTGGCATCGAGTTACAACACGGACTACCAAGAAATCAAAGCGTTCCGAGTTGATTACGGTTACCGATGATTTATTAAACGTTATTCCAACGTTCGAATAATACCCTGTTACACACATCGCAGCGCATAAATTTTATTTCTCGTTTTCCCGACGCAAGGCAATGTCGAGACAAGTGACTCCGGAGAAAAGCGTTTATCTCGTTTGGTTGAGCGTGGCCATCACCTTTTGCTGGCCCCTACCCGCCAACACCGCGAGAAAAAAGATCGTGGGGATGAAAGTTTTACTAATCGCCTCGATTATCAACGGTTGCGTCGTAATACTGGCCATGTTTTACTGGATCCGTTTGCACTTGGACGATATCATCTCCCTTTTCAAATGCGTCTGCGTGGTTCTGTGTCTCCTTCAATACGTCGTACAGACCATCGTCTGCTTCGTGAAATATGACACGCTGCAAGTAAGTTCAGTGCCTTATCGAGAAAGAGAGAGAGAGAGAAAGACAGAGAAGGTCTCGAGGTAAAAATTGGCTCGAAATAACTTGACGATTATTCGTGGTCGAGTAGAAATAATTTTCTTTACCAAGCGTTAAATTAATTGTAGTAAGAAATAAGTATAGATTTGAAGATTTGCAAGCAATTTTCTTCCTCTCGTTTCACGGGGAGGAAATTAATCGCGCTTTAATCACAGTTAGTTAATTGCAGCGCGTGGTCGACGAGATGATGGGGTGCATCAACGAGGCGAAAACGGACGAGATTTTGCGCGCGTACGCGTCGAGATGCAACACTTTGTACGGGATGTCCTTACTGTCGATATACATTTGCGGGACGAGTTTTGTATTCACGCCCCTGTTCCTGCCCAATCCTTTCCCCTTCGAGACGGAATACCCGTTCGACGTGAACACAACCTCGAGAAGTTTCATCATATACGCGAGCCATGTCCTCGCCATCTTTCAAAGCACCGGCCATATGTGCCTGTGCACGTTCGGCGCCGTCCTCCTCTGGTTCACGGCCGCGAGATTCGAGTGTTTGATCGGGGAGCTGCGAAGCGTAACCAGCATTGACGCGCTGGTCGTTTGCCTTAAGAAACACTCGCGCTTGAAGAGGTAAAAATTTCTTTTCTTTTCGATTGAACTGATTCTTTGATAAACGTAAAATTTTCGGATATACTTCCAATCGTGTCAAAATCAAATTTATCTTCATCGGTTAATTTTATTTTCGAAATCAATTTTTTTTGGAGGGCTTTTAAATCGTCGAATCTGAATAATAAAGAAGTAAATCAATCGTATCTTATTAATTGGAGATAACGAAATCGAAAGCGTAAGTAAATGTGGTTCGAACAATATTGCTTTTTATTGTGATTTATTATTTCATCGAAAAAAATTAAGATTGATTGGAATGAAAAAGAAAATACAAGTAATCAATATATAAGAAATATAGAAACGTATGATGTAACTTGAAATAAGTCGCGTGTGACAGTGTTTGTCGTAAGTTCTCTTGTGCAGATACGCGGAAGAAGTGGTGAGCTGTATTCGTTTCCTAGTGTTTCACGCGATACTGTTAGGCACGTTTGTTTTGACTCTGTGCGGAATCGTGCTGATCATAGTGAGTAAGCGAGATTCACCACGTTTCACACACGATATGGATACGATACGATGTGGATTAATCGCCGCCGATTCGTAAAACAGAATTCGCCGTTGATCGTGAAAGCGCAGTTTATAATCATATGCGTGTGTATCCTCCTGGAAATTTATTTGTACGCGTTGCCGGCTGATTACATGTACGACATGGTAAGTTGTGAACTTATTCTTGTGATTCGTATAATTTCGATAAAATCTTATCGTTATCTTAACCCTTTCGCTCGAGAAAGATCGTCGTTTACACCTCACAATTCGAGGTGTTTATTCGACGAAAAATTGATGATAAAAAAATATCGCTCGCAGTAGCGAAAGGGTTAATTCTACCGTTTAAGATATTTCTCTTTTATCGATTCTCTTTCTCGAAAAGAGAAGAAAATCGAGAATTTTTGTTATCATTAATTGGAATTTACATTCCTAAATTAACGCTTGGTGAATACGATGCGATGCTTTAAGCTAATATTTTATTATGTTATTTAATAAGATTCGTTTTTTAAGGACAATATTTCTCGTAAATCCCCAGAGCATGAACATTTCTCGAAGCGTGTACGACTCGATGTGGTACGAGCAAAAGTTGGACTTGCAAAAAGCTCTGTTGACCGTGTTGGCGTTTCAAAAACCGATACCCGTCTCGATTAACGTTCTATTGCCAGAACTCACTATACGGTATTACTGTTCAGTAAGTTTCATATCATCCATTAATCACGAGCCAAATTTGACGTAAATAATTTAAATCGATAACAACGTGTTTCAGTACGTGTCGAACGCCCTGTCCATCTTCGCAGCCCTGCGTACCGTGGTGGATGATAGTTGAACCATTTGAAAATTTTTGTAATATTGTAAGAATTGTAAGAATTGTAGATAAAACGAGACTTTACAAGTAAACATTATTAATATATTCGTGGAATATCTTTCGAGAGAATCGATTTTTTAGAAGAACGAATAGAAAATTGATGTACATAAAATACATTGAATTATATCGAGTTATGAACCAGTGATTCTCAACCTTTTTTCATAACTTTTAATAATTTGATTAAATTTGGCGGCACACTAAATTAAAAGAATTTTATTTTTCAGAAGAACGAATAGAAAATTGATATATTGAATTATATCGAGTTATGAACCAGTGATTCTCAACCTTTTTTCATAACTTTTAATAATTTGATTAAATTTGGCGGCACACTAATAAGATAAATTAATAGAATTTTATTTGATAGCTATAATATATCTTGTAAAATTAGCATATGTATGGCCAGGCCCGTAGTCAGGATTCTTTTTATGAAGGGGCTAATTTTATACATATAAGAAAAATAAATTATCACAGCACATCCTGTAAAATGTTGCTACCTTTTCAAATGATCAAATAAATATTTGGACTGAACTTATCGATTGATAAAGAAATGTAATAAATAAATAAATAAATAATTTTTATTTCGGAAGGACAGTGTTGAGAGTCACTGATAAACAATATAAATTAAAGCGAGAGAATTCATAATTTTTTGCTGATGATTCTTTTCCTTTTTAATCTCTGAGAATCAATCCCTCAAAGATGTTCCAATAAATAAATATTACCCTGTTGTACAAATTGTCGAATATTAAAGAAATCGTGGATGAATCAAGGTAGATGGAAAATGTGATTTTATTATTATTTATATCAGGTAATAATTTAATTTATATTTATTTTAATTCATACGAAACAGCAGCTTTGTCAGGACGCGTAGTACACGAGTTGTAAGCTACTTACATTACGTAAATCAACGAGGATTTGAAGAAACAAGGGGAATATCAGATCAAAAATAATTGTTAAGGTTTTATATACACGTATTAATCTATTATAATGAATGGATTTATTTATTCGAGCAATACGTATGAAATTAAATTAATTATTGTTAATAATTATAGGTATAGGGTCGACAGGTCATTAAAAATTAACAATGGCATTATTATTTTAAGAATCATAATTATATGGAATGTACATCAAGTTTCTTTTTCCATCAAAAAAATTATTAAGATATTGATAAGACGTGTAAGTGAAAACAAAAAATCTTTAATTATTCACTAACAAATTTATTAAAAAAGAATACGTAATGTATGTCTATTTTTATATAGCAATTAATTGAAATTTTATTTTACTTAAAGTGATGGCAAACACGTTCGAAGTTTTCAAATATAAATTTAAAAAAAAAAAAATTACTGCAAGATTTGAAAAAAAATTACTTCTTTTATCGTTGATATAATATCGTTGTGGAACGAATTGAATATTATTTAGAAAAATTATAAGGAAAAGTTAGAGAGAATTTAGGGAATGAAACAAACAAGCCGAAAATAACAATATCCTGTTTCAATAGACGTTCGTTTGTTAAAACGTTTGTTAACAACTGGTTCCACTTGATATTGGCATAGAATTACGAGAGAAAGAGAGAGGGATATTGGGGTTCCATTATTAGAGATTTTGACTTCAAAGAATAAAATCATTCACTATTATATGTTTGATCCAAACAACATGATGAACTTTTCGAAGAGGAACCTGCTATTGTCGGATTTCAAACAATTGTTTTGCCTCGTTATCGATTAAAAACTTTATCTTTGCTATTACATAGTTCCTGCTATGAATCGAAAAAATTGTTTTCTCGAATCTGATTAATCACCTTCACTGTCGCTTTTTTTTAAATAAAATATTCGAATAAATTCCTATCATTAAATGCGTTCCACGATATTGCTTTGTAAAACAATTTCTTCTTGCAATTGGTTAATGGAGACACAAATTCTATTTAATTCTTAATGTACGTAGATTTTATATTGCAGATTAACATTGCAAAGAATCATTGAATTATCCAATTTAACAATTGGATACTTCTACAGTGAGTTTTTCTTAATATGCTAAAAAACAACGATTCGATAATATTATACAACAAGATAAATTAAATGAAGAAATAATCACCGGAGTTTGATTATAAATGAAAGTCAAAGCATCGTCAAACATCGCGCAGTTTGATATTCTGATTAAAAATTGAACGATATTTTCAATCTCTCTTCAAAATATTCGTGTTTTATTAAATATAACGATTATTCCGAGTTATAAATTAATTCTTCAATCAATTTCTTTAACGATTATGCTCAACTTCTTTTTCGTTTCATTCGGCAAACAAAACTCGTCTTAATTCAGAATTTAATCGATCATTGTTCAAATTTATTACAAATCGAACGATTTTATCATTGTTGCCTGTGTGTAATAATAATCGAAGAAACCGATCATTCGATATTGTTTTCCACTCTTTTAAGAATTATCTCAAAATAAATTGTTTTTCGTCAACGAGTCGAGTCGCCCTCGAGAATCGTTTCGCCGACAATTATTCCCATATAATCACTCGACGAAATTCGAAAAAATATTCTCTTGATCGAGTTTCAAATACATTTGAATTTCTTATCCCAACAACAACGATTAATTATTTTTCCCGAATATACGGACAAAAATTTCCTTCCCTCGTTTCTTTATTTCCACAACGTTTAATATTCACCTCGAGATTCGCGTTACCAAGCTTTCGTATTGATCCAATAAAAAAAAGAAGAACAAGAAGAAGAACAGGCGAGAAAGAGACTCGAGAGAAAAAATATGGCGGATTCATGGCCGATTCGCGGCTTAATTAAGGCATTGCACATCCAGCGATTAACAACGCGTGCACGGACAACAGATGATATGATTGATGCACCGCCTCGGCATCGAAATCGATTTTTACCCCCATCGGGATGATATCCTTAAACCTGTCGATAACCAATTTCGCTTTTGAGAAATATCGGCCTTTATCAATCCCGCCTACTTTATCCTCCAACGATTTGATCGACGATCGATGATGCATCCGACACATCCGCGGATATGTAATAATGGAATTAGAATGATCCGGCGGAGGAACAGATCGACGCGTGACGTGGATGAAAATAAAGTGAAGTACCGGTGGAGGAAACATAATATCCCACCGATATTTCCACGGATCGACGATTACCTTTTATTATTTCACCGACATATTCGAGTGTTTCTTCTAATAAGTCTTTTTGAGAGATTGTACGATTTGGGAGAGCCCGAATCGATTCTTCTCTTTCGAGAGGAAAATAATTGGAATTTGGAACCACGACGGCCCAATTCATTTTAAGGTAAAGAAGAAAATTCGTTGAAATTTATTCCATTCCAAGCTTATATGAAACGAATATTTCGCAATACACAAATAATTCGATCCCAACAGCCTCGAGGACGAGCAGCCACGTACTCGACTTTTAAGGTTAAAAACATTTTAATTAGGAAGCACAGCCGAGTTAAATTTCATTCCCCGAGAAAATGTCCTCCGCGCACGGATCATTCCTGTGTTTTGCTTCAGGAACGAACAAAAACAAGAAAAAGAGAGAGAGAGAGAGAGAGAGAGAGATCATGTTTCGCCAGTTGGAGTTTCCTTGAGAAACAGAGAACAAGAAGAAGAAGAAGAAGAAGAAGAAGAAAGGAAGGCAGAAGAAAGTTGGCGGCGCGTAGATTCCCCGTAGAGTCGCTAATTCGACGGAAACAGGGGAGGGGAGGGGAGTACGTAAGCCCGAAAAGTCATAAAACTATTAAGAAAGTTGGCAAAGTAGCCTCGTCATCGCTACGTTGGCGGAAGTTTCGAAATCCGGCCAACCTATACCTAATAGATACATCAAGCTTTAATGTCCAAGGGAGGTGTTCCATCCTCGAGGACCGTATTTCCTTCTTTCTGCTCTCCTTCTTTTTCTTTCTTCCTCCCCTCCCCTACTCTCACGATGGAATCGCGTGAAACAACGGAAGAGACTGCCACCCTCGAGCATCTCTTCTCGAGCTGTATACATTTCCGGTCGTTCTCTCGAGGAAACAATGGACGTTGGAGGGGCCCAACAATAATCGTTAAAGCGGCGTTGGAGAGGATCTCGGAGAGGATCCAGTTTTCCTGCCAATTGTTCGCAACTGATGATTCCTAGTTTCTTCGAAATTTTTCGGATTTGTTTTTACTCGTGCAAGCAAGTAGATTTGTTGATTCTGCTTTTGTTGCTGCATGAGAAGTTATATATATTTAAGAATTTCTTTTTTCGTAGGAGTTTATTATATAGTATATACACGTTTTTGGATTTTTAGGTCTAGGTGATGATAGAAAGAAAAAACAGGGTGATTCGTTTTTTCGAGTAAGTAATGTAAAGTTTGGAAATATTTGCTCGTTTCCTATATTATATAGGAATTTAATTTATCAATTAACGAAAAAATCTTTCTCGTTCGTACCAGCAGGTGGCCATCCTGTATACTGAAGATGGTTGCTTCGTGACGTTGCAAGATATAACGATAGGTCATCTAATGCGTCCATGATTTTTCAGCTTCCCTCCTCGTTGGTAATTAACGCTGCAGTCTCTCAACCTCGTTAACAAGATCGTGGAGACGTGGTATCTACTATATTCAAGTTATATTTTCGCGTACATGTAGAACGGGAGGAGGAGGTGAGTCACGTAACGTGATCACTTGAAGTAAATTTTTTTTGTTGCGTTTTGTATAAAATTCGTCGTATAAAATTTGTATATGTATAAAATTTATACGTGTAGATGTGAAAAATTTTATTTATAAATTAAAGATTCATATTGTCATTGTATACACAAAAGTTTATACAAAATTTAAAAATATTGTATTTATACCTCTGTTTTCATCTGGAAAGGATTCGATTTATACAATATGAAACGTTGGTAATTGTATTTTATAATTGTATCATTTTCTGCAAAATATATGTATATCCGTGATACAATCTTCGAGAGAACAATTGAAATTTACGAAACCTGCTGTTATTTATCGATCGTTACGACAATTAACTTAAATCTTAAACGTGATTAATCAGTCCAAACTTATTTCTTTATTTTTTCTCAATCATTATAAGACATATATATCTTTATGACTTCTTAAGTTTTTATAGCTTCAAGTTTTGAAAATTTTTTTTACTTCTTTCATCGTTGATTAGCTTTTATTATTTTTCATAACGAAACGTCAATGCAATGTGAAAAAATACCAATGTATACGAATTAATATCGAAAAATAATCAGTGGAATATTTACGCAAGAATATCTAAAAAGGAATGAAAAAGTATATACATCGCGTTATTACGCATATTTCATTAGGAATAAAATAAATCCCCCTTTTGTTATATACAAAAACGAGGAAAGCACACCTCGAATCAATAAAGATCGATAAATAAAATAACAAGTAAACAACGAGAAACGACATATAACGACGATATTATGTATTTAATATCAGAATTATTCGATATATTTTATGCAATATGCATTTCCCCTCCCCCAATTACGATGCGAACGATGAGGTAACCTTTTCACGGCGAAAGCCGCCTCTTATTAGCTTGCTTATCTCTGTTTATGGACCGTCCTTTACATAAACTAACAGGGTGGCGCACCCTTTCAAACCGACTTCGTTATTATCACTAGCTTTGTGCAGCTCATAAAATCGAGGCTTTCGAGGGTCGAATTGGGATACGCTTCTCGAAACAATATTTGGACGGACAGTAATATCCAAGTTAATAACAATCATCATTTTAATATCAGAGAATATACTCGAAGGCTTTAAGTTCTTCACATTCAATTTTATGTATTATTCATAGAATTGAGTAATAATCAGTATATAATGTGGAACAATATCGATGAGCTGTTATAATTTTAAATACCTGCTTTTTTTGTACTAAAAGAAATGGCAGCCTGTTATTTTATTTATCTCCTTTAAACACGTGGTTTATAATTTCTTTAAGAATACGAAAATATCACTGTTTCCTTTCTTCTTTAGAACACAGACATACGAATTTAATTTAATCACTCGATACTCTGCAATTCTTATTTCGATCGGTCAAAAC